CAAATTCTGTTTTCCGTTATTTTCTGGATTCCATTTTAATGGTTCCATTAAATCTCCAAATAATTGATTTTATTTAAAAAATAAATAAATAAAAGTTTTTCCCACCGTTTTTTCCGTAGTTTCTTTTTTCAGAAATACTGCACATTTACATTTTTCTCCTAAATAAATTCTGGTAAATAACATTTCTGGTAAATACTCCTTTAAAAATAGTTTTTTTAAATTTTTTATAATTGTATTATTAGTAGACTAGAACACGTGGATATGTTGTTATTCTTACACTATATTACTGAACTTTGATTTCAGTGATTTGGACTATGAGATGGACACTTGCTTCTTGCACTCTATGTTGCACTTTACTTTTGCTTTAAAAAGAGGATTTCATAGAAATTTGGATTTCATTTGGTTTAATAAAATATAGTTTAATAAAATATTCTTCAGTTAAATTGTTGATGTTTTGTGGGAAATTAATCGTTTAGATTAATCGATAAACTAGTCGATAGATTAATCAAAATAAAAATAGTCTTTAGTGGCAGCCCTAATTGTATTGCTGGATATTTTAATTCACTGTATGTAATTAGTTGGGGTGTTGTTAATTAGGGTCATAATATTGTGGAATTATAACTCGTGGCATTCTTATCTGGGTTTGTTGTCTGAGCACATGTTATTCTATGTAGAAAAATCCAATAAAAAATTTGAGTGTTCATGAAATTTGTACATTAAAAAAAAGGGGGGGAAAAAGACCTTCAAGTGACTGTTAGTTGACAGTGACAGGCAATCTAAATAGAGGGGGTGAGCATGCACAATTATACATGCGACTGACGAATTAAAAATGTGCATTTAAATACAAAATACAACATAAATATAAAAATATACAGTAAAGATAAATATATCTAATATAATATTGACCGATAACCAATATAGTACTAATATATAGTGTATGCCTAGACAAAAAGTGCCTGCCAGAAACATAAATCTAAAACCTAATATGATCACTAATGTGATAATATGTTCAGCTACAGTAGCAATAAGAGAATAGTTATATAATACTTATATCACAGACTTTTCTTCAAAATCAGCAAAGAAAATGCCAAATAAAACTAAGCTTTGAACTGTAGAGTGTGCAACTTGGTTCAGCCGGGCCACTTGATAACATAATCTTAAACAGAGGCCTTCACACTCACTCTAAAAATAAGCCTTTACAGAGAGCTGCATAAAAGCCTTTATGAATCAATCAGCCTGTCTCTCTTTCTGTGCGAAAGCCCCTGAATGAATGAAAACCTATTGAACCGAGCGAACGGACTCACACATACACTCCTTCGACAGTGAAAATGAATCCTCTTGGTTTACCTATGCAGGCATTGGGGGAGCTCAATTATTCAACTTCATGTTTGCTCACACATTATCACTGCTGAGCTAGAGTGCACGAGCCACACAAAAGGTACGCAACGCTAATGAAACAACAGCGAGTGGGGTGGGGTGGGGACACAGCTTATATAAAACTAATGAAATGGGAGAAAGTCTGCGTGAGGGAGAGATGAGTGACGGAGGAGGAACAGCAGACGGCAGCGATGCAAATGAAACGAGGGGAAAGAAATGAAAGAATCAGAGGAAAGGTGGCACTGTTTAACAGCAGGTTACTTCAGCACTGCTTTAAAGAATCACAGATGTTAGACACAAAGACAGAAAGTGAGTGACATAAAAAAGCAAAATCGTGAAACGAGGCTGAAAGGAGACCTGAGAGACTGAGGAGGCAGCCCTCCGCTGGGTTTTTTTAATAAGAAAGCCCACAGTGTCTCTCACACCCTGATGAACAACAACCTCATGGATCACAACAGAGGTGGGGAAACACAAGGATAGGATGGCAAGGATAAAAATAGAAGGGCTTTTTCCATTTGGGCATCTGATTATTCTTGCATTCTTATGTTGTGTGTGTCTTGAAGAGTACATGATGGTGTAGGAGTGTGAAAGAGAGCAACCGCTAACACACATTCCTTTGTGGAGGAGTGTGAGTGTGTCTTCGTATGTAGGCGAAGACCTGAGGGACAATCTTCACTACTGTAGAACCACATACACCCCCACACTCATCGCTGACTCCATATAACCATCATGCATTATGATGTAAGTAATGGGCAAACTCAATAAGGGTCCTTCGTCTTAGCATAAACGCATTGCTAAACAAACAGTAATCCCAGAGTCTCTGGAGGAAACGCGATCAATACTTAAATATCAGATATCATATTCTACAGAAACAAGCTTGTTACCATAACAACTACCGAGCAAGGTCCCATGGAAACAGCTAGCTGTTTCCATGCCAACATTAAATCCTCAACCTGTAAAGGAATAAAGATATTGATGGCATCAAACTACTGGCTCTCCAAGTTAAGTCACCAAATCAGGCCTAAAGCGCAAAGCTAGTGCTAATCTCATTCTATTTGCACTCAATTCACCTGCGGACCAGGGCTGAAGAAGAAATAGAGGGATCCCGGTCGTTGATGATTGTCTCACACTACCATAATTTATTTGAGCTCAAAACTTGAGACTTACAAATACTGAAAATTCAAAAGTCATATTCTTGCATATCCTTCTGGGATAAGAAGTCAGTGGATGTCAGGTAGGAGAGGGCGGTATGACCAAAAATCACAATACACTTTTTTAGATAAATATAAAGATAAATATTTTACAAATAAAATGTACTTCGGACCAGCTTGATGGAAGAAAACCAAAAGATAAAAATTATTTATAATAAATAAATTATAAATCAGGCATCAGTGCTGCCTCACATTACATAATGTGAGTTAAAAATAAAAGACTCAAAACACTTTTACATTATAAATGCCACTGGGTGAGCCATGTTCAAAGCCGTAAAACAGCCAATATATACACATTTAGTTCAATTTTATGCGTAAAGTTGTGCCATTTGCTTGGCAACCGTAGAAGCTTCACCAGTACATATACTGTAAGACTACTGTATACTGTAGCTACTGACCTATAAGACACAAATTAAATAAAATATGAAAAATAGACTATTGTTCAAAGGTTTAGAGCCAGTAAGATTTTTTTTATAGAACTTAATATTTTTATTAGGCAAGGATGCATCAAATTTATCAAAAGTGACAGTAAAACGATTACATTGTTACAAAAGATTTCAATTTCAAATAAACTTTGTTCTTTTCAACTTTTTATTCATCAAGATAACAAAAAATGTATCATAGTTTCCACAAAAGCAGCACAAT